ACCAGCAGCTTCTTGACTTGGGGTGCTGAGGATTCATTTCCCCTTACTCTTTCAGTTAGAGTTTGCAGCCATATTTTTGAGACATCTATTGGAACTTAAAGGAACATGGCTGAGGAAGCTTTCTCATGTCATTTGCATATAATCATCTGTATCGATATTCTGATGCTCAGCTCCATGGGGGCATAAACTCTGAGATGGTGTGGTCTAAAGGGGACGGCAGCTTTTGCTTTTTATTTGTTTGTTTGTTTATTTATTTAAGTTTTTAAATGTTTATTTATTTTTGAGAGAGACCGAGTGCAAGTGGGGGAGGGACAGAGAGGGAGGGAGACACAGAAGGTGAAGCAGGTTCCAGGCTCTGAGCTGTCAGCACAGAGCCCAATGTGGGGCTCAAACCCATGAGCTGTGAGATCATGACCTGAGCTGAAGCTGGACGTTTAACCGACTAAGCCACCCAGGCACCCCAGGAGCCTTTGCTTTAAAAAGGACAACGACCACTGAGGCAATAATTCTTTAAAGGTAGTCTCTGGGTAACCAGCAACAGTATCTCCTGGTGTGCTTGTAACACACAGGTTCCCCAGTCTTATGCCAGACCTACTGAATCAGAACCTTCTGGATGGCACTTGGGATGTGGATTTTATATTTTAATGTTTATTTATTTTTGAGAGGGAGAGAGACAGAGCATGAGCGGGGAAGGATCAGAGAGAGAAGAGAGCACAGAATTCGAAGCAGGATCCAGGCTCTGAGCAATCAGTGCAGAGCCTGATACAGGACTTGAACTCATGAACGGTGAGATCATGACCTGAGCCGAAGTCAGATGCTTAACCTACTGAGCCACCCAGGAGCTCTGGGATGTGGATTTTAAATAGTACCCAGAGCCGGTGGTCCGGGCCTGTACTGGAGAACACCATCTCATTGCATAGGAAGACTTAAGTCTGTGGCACAGAACTCCCCAGGTTGGGGGCAGCGTCCAGCCACATCCATTCTGATTTTAGTCTCACTCCTTAGAAATGGGAATCGCTGCTTTGGTACAGAAGCCCTCTGAGGATACCCTTTGTCCCTGGCTAGTAGGAAGTCCATTTACAATCTATCTTTTGGTTCCCCCAAAGTAGTAACACTGAAAGGAAATCTCATTTAGGGCGAATTTTAATAGTTCTTCATTACAGACAAAAATGTAGACTCTATGTGCTTGTCTGTATGTGTGATGGGGGGGGAGGAGAGCTGGGGGTGGGAGGGGAGAGGATTTTGAGGAGACTGGTGTTGGGTGTGTTCTCTTCCTCTTAGGTTTTCCGCACTGTTTTCCTTGAAATTAAATTTAATGGAATTCATATTTGTGTTGGGAATCATGTATTACAAACTCTCTGTAAAAATACTTCCCGAGACCTAACGTGAGTAGAAAGGAAGAAATATTCAGTAAGTCACTCGAGTAGCATATACTTCCTATGTGTGGTTTGCACGCTGATGTCCTTGAAGCTTGTTCCAAGGCTGCCTGGGGAGTGGGGGGGCAGGCTGAGGGGAATCTGCTTCCCTCCCCAGCTCCTTCACCCATCCCCACATTTGGCCAGAGTGGGTTCTCCTGGTTTCCCTTCTGCATTTTGAGTTTCGACGGCAGGGTTTGGTGGCTAAAAAGAAACTGGTGATCGTTTATACCTGTGACTGAAATCAACATGGCATGCAGCTCTTGGGTGCTGATTGTTACTACTCGTCCCATCATCCTTCTCTTCCAGCAGCCTCAGAGATTTTGCTTCCCTTGAACTGGGCCAGACCTGGCGCTCTTGCAATTATGGTGGCACTGGGGTTGTTTCAAAGGGGGTGAGCTTTTGGGTTATCATTGTGATAAAACACTTGCAAATGTGGTCACTTAGACAATGGAGGAGAAAAAGTGGGAAGAATCCAAAGACAATGCAATATTTTCTAGGTAGGATCAAACTGCTTTTAGACATTGTTGTCGTGAACAGGGCTCTGTGACAGTGGGCTGTCATGTCACCTGTGTTGGCCACAGAGGTTGTTAAGGGAGGAATCTGATTTAAGTTGGAACTGAAGGTTATGTTTGGACGATCGACGTCCCCAACGCACCTCAATGGCTCTTGAAAGTTATGAGAATCATGTGTAAGTGAAACCTATTGAAATCCCGAAAGTGTTCTCTTCAGCTGTCCAGGAAAGATGTGGAACTTTACACGGGCTATGTATGCCCTCTGCTGATTTTCACATGCGAGCGTGGAACTTGGCTTTTAGCGACTGTGCGATTCATGTCTTCTCGTGGTAGAAAGCTCAGCGTGAAGGCCCCGAGATGTCTGTGTTCCAGTTATACCGCCTAACACAATCATTCTCTCCTTTTCAGTTCAGTACATATTGTACAGACAGGCTTCACTGATATTTTGGGCACATTTCCTCGTGTTTTTTTTTTCCTGAAGAGTTTTTTTCCCTCTGAAATCGCTTGCAAAGCGAGAGGTCAGCCATTTCTCCTAAGTACGTCATCATTTCAAAGATTTTCAGAGAAAAGTCATGTGTCCAGTGGACCAATAGCTCAGAGGAGGAGGGGAGATTGTGTATCATGGTGAGAGGGCCACCTGTCCCGCTTCCTCTGGGAAGCTGCCACCGGCCACTCTCCAGGCCGTTTGATCTTTCCTTTCTCAGAACCACTTGAAGCCTAGCCTAGGTCCTTCTTCTCTCTCTTTCTTTTCCTTCTTTATTCCACCAAACATGTCCTGGATGCCCATGCCAGGTACTGAGCTAGACGATGTGTATGTGTGTGGCGGGGGAAAGAGGGAAGGACACAAAGATAAATTGGAAACCAAACCAGCCCTGAGACAGCACATAATCTACTGGGAAAGGCCGGGCAACCTCACAAGTGATTCCAAGAAAGGCCGCTCTGCCCAGCGAGAAGCGCTGGATGGGGGAGAACTGTCCATAATCTTGCACTGTATTTTTTGGTGCATTTTGTCTCTCCATTTATAATGCCCTCTCTTTAGAGAGGACACCAGATGTTTTTGCTTGCCTAGCATCCATTTCTCCTTCTGGTCATGGCATCCTGGTTTTGCACTGGAGACAGCCCAGTGGGACTGTTAAATCAAAGTGCCACGGCCTGCCCCTGCTAAGAGCTGGGTGTGTGACCCAAGCTGAACTGATCTCTCTTTCATATTCGGCCACTGACTGGAGATACAAGGGTAGAAAATGTTCAGAGCAGACTTTGTCTTAGGACCACATTGATGACACAGCCCGGGTTCCCTCCACCTGGATTTCTGGCACTGCTCTGGGCCCTGTCGTAGTAAGGATGGCTCATTCAGCTTTTTCAACATCCTGTTATTATTACCTTAATTAGCTTGGGTCTGTTTCTGCTGTTTGCATATATAAAGCACTTCTAACAGATTCCCTTCTGGGAGTGAAAGATCAGGCCTCATAGTTCTTCTCTAAGACCTACCAAGTGCCCTACACAGAGAAGATGCTCAATAAATACTGGTCAGTTGATAGTTTGAAGAAATGTATCTCAGGATGAAATATACTCCTTGCCTAGCTATGGATTATTTAGGAGTTTGGGCACAATTCCAAAGTTTTCCTTGGGCTAATTTATTCTAAGATTTTGTTCTACCCCATAGCAACCACAAAAGCAAAAATGACCTCTTGCTTATAGCCAGAGAGATGCATTTCGCCATAGTAGCACAGCAGAGACTTGACTAGGTCTACAGGAAGTCACATCTTAGAAGGTCAGGGTTGGTAGAACCTTCAAGGCCATCGGGCCTAAGAGGCAGTTGCTTTATAGTTAAGATTTAGAATTGGAATGGCTCTAAATACTAGTTAACGCCTATAGTGAACATAGTAATCCCATGAACACTTTTAGTCACTAAACCACAAGTTGCCTTCCTTTGTGGCATCTTCCAGAATACAGCATATATGAATTTTTTTTTGTTTTTTGCAAATTAAATTACAGTGTATATGCTCTGGTGGAGACCGCAAATTAAAAAGAGGCAATGGCAGGTGCCCTTATAAACTGAAAAATCCTGACGCAAGAAGCAGATGAACCAAATTTTAAAAAGGGCGGGGAGATTATCAAGGACAAGCAGCACTATTTCTGGACATCTTTTCTTAAATAGACAAGAGAGCAAAGGTACTATTTATACATTACTCATGTATTATTAATACCAAGATCTACATCCACATCTGTATCTATATATAGATAGATGTTCCTTGCTGCATGGTTAATAATAGTTCCAATTGGGGAAGCCCACAAGTCCTTCAAAAAGGAAAATTCTACAGATACGTGAGCCAGAGCTATCTATGCAAACGTGGAAAAATGTCTATAGTGATTTATGTTAAAAAAACAAAAAGCGAGCTGTAGGATGACACAGAGTTTGGTTATATATATATATATATATATATATATATATATATCTGGAAAGATATATTCCAGACTTTTAAACATAGTTAAAGGAGGTCAGTTAAGACTTTTGGAAGCCCTACGAATCAAGGGAGTGGCATACTCCCCTCACCCCCAAACACCAGGGAATTCAAAATCAAACATACCGAACAGTAAAAGAGATGTCAAAAGTCTAAGTAAATTCTGACTCTTTTTTTGTAATGGGTATTAGAAATAGCACATTCTTCTAAAACAATGTCAGTGTTCCTAATGGCCCAACCAGGCACACGCTTGCTTCCTCCCTGGGGCCCTGCGTCACGGGCAGCTCACCTCTCTCACTTATCTTACGTATTCCTGCATTCGAGGATTCTAAAATAACGAGCATGCCTTAATTTTCTAATTTTAAAGTGATGTAAAAATAGGGAAAAGCAACACAAGGGAGTGCTGTGGGTAGCGGAAATTTCAATGTCCCTCTGAAGTGTAGTCACATGCTTATACAATGGGTAAGAAGCCATTAAGCTAACTGCTTGAGCACTGTGCACTCTAAGTTATACCTCAAATAAAAACCATTAATTAATCCTTAATCTTAATCCTTAATCCAAATCTTTAATACTGATGGCTCTTAAGATAGACAAAGTTGAAGACTTACCTGGACCAATACAAAAAACCTCTTCTTCCATCTCTTCCAGACATTCTTACCAATGGCCCATAAATACCTAAGGAAAAAGAAAAAGACCAGAGTTGCATTAATGCTTGAGCGACTGCACTGTTTAATTCACTTGACTGTGAAGCTTGGTACTCATAAGCGAGGAAATGCACATGGCTCAGAAAAAGAACACAGATTTTGGCGCTGTGTGACTGAGGATAAGGAACAGCAAGCCAAAGTTCGCTTCCACTCCCAGAAGGAATTGTGGCCCCTCCTCACACTTGACTAATATTCTTTGATTGATTCCAGAAAGCACCTTGGAAAATGTTACATGGAGACTTAATTTTTGTATGTGCTGGAAGTCTATTAGATAGGGAAACTCCTGCCAAAGCTGCACGAGAGAAAAAAAAGAAGGCTAAATCCTACAACCAGCCCCTATGCCTCATGTAGAGGCTCAGCCAGGAGCCGCCCCCAACCCCCCACCTTTGCTCTAATTCTGTCAAATGCAGGTATATTACAGGGAAGAAATTTCACGTCAACATAGAAAGTTCTCCCTATACCTCTCCCCTTTCCCCAAATGCTCTTCTGTTGATGGAAATTAATCTTGATACAGAAAAGTGAAATAAAAGGAGAGTTAAGAATTACAGAGGAATAACTCAAAGCTATCTGGAGATTTTACAAGTGGTCTTACTAATTCATTCGCGAATTACTCCGCTGGCCTTGTGGATTGCCGCACACTAAACTGACACTAATCAAGGAAGTGAGGCCCCTGGTTTTCAGGCTCTACTGGACCAAGTGAGGAGAGATCTGGTCATACTCAAAAACATTCAAATACTCAAGTTCCCAAACTGGCTTTATCTGCTATAAAAATCAACTGGACAACTTCCAAATCCTCACTTCACCTGGAATCAGAGAGTATTTCCGCTTTGGAACATAAAGAAGAATGCACCTAATTAAAATTTATACCATTTGACAAATTACAGGGGCTCTGAGAACTGGCTGGTGGCCAAACTGTGCTCAGATCTTTAAGCCAGAAACCCAGGAGTCACCCTGGGTTCTTCTGTTTCCTCCTCCTTACTCCTTCATTGCCAAGTGCAGCTGATTTTTACTTCCTGCAAAGTTCATCACTCTGCTCAGTCTCTACCCCTCACACCCTCACGATTTCAGTCCCAGCCCACAGCTTTGCTTCCATGGACAGTGGTAGAGGACACTTTTAATGGGTGTCAAGGACACCCAGAATGATTTTCATCCCCCTCCTGGCCATGAGATGCGGCCCACCATTTGCAGATGCTATCACGCCTTTCCCTGATGAAACTCCTTCGGTGGGTCTCCCTTGTTTACATGAAGGGAGCCTCAAACTTTGGCCACTCACATTCCACTTTCATGATCTATCCTGTATCTGCCCACCTATTCTATGGTTTACTTGGCATTTTCCTTTAAATTAACTTATTTAACACAAATACATTTATTTTGGAAGAAAACTTTATATTATAGCCTCGATACACTAGTTACATATTACGTGGCTCACATGAAAACACATACGTAAACATTTAACGAACATACGCTTGTCTGTACATCACTAAGATGATTGTGTGTGCCATCAGTGATATAAATCCACTCAGGGAAACTGTAGCCTATAGAGATAAAATCCAGCATCTTGACCTGGCCTGAAAACCTGTTCATTCTCTGGCCCTGCTCGACTGTCTACACTCAGCGTCTGCACATTACATTACCCGTAATCCCTGACCACACCAGGAAGTTTCACACTTGTGTAATTTTGCACGTGCTTCACAGCCTGGAATTGTCTACTCTCAGCTCCTTATGTTCCAACTCACATTCTTCCTAAGTTTAAATCCCTACCTTGATGTCATCACACCCCCTGGGGCTTATGGATGGCTCCTCTGTTACAATGATTACACTACTATAATTTGTCTTTATATTTATTGTTCCTACTGGATTGTGAGCTCTTTGAGGGAAGGAACCTTATTCCTTCTTTCTAAATTCTTATTTCTAAATTCCTAGCACAGAACTTTGTTGTGCTTTTTAAATTCCTAGGATGGTTCTTGATATGTAGTAGGAGGTCAGTATATATTTGTTCTATTTCAATGGGTTTGGAAGGCCATGATCTTGGGAAACTAGAGCAACCTTTGTAAATGTTTCCGATGAGGTTTTAAAACACTGCATAAAGACATGCAATCCATCACCAAGTTCTTTGGGTTTTCCATCCAAAATATACCTCAACTGTTTCCATCCCCACTGCTGCTCCCCATTCAAGCCTCCAAGATGTCCACCTGGGCCATAGCAACAGGCTGTGTCCTAACCGGTCTCCCTGCCTCACTCTTGCCCACACTCCACGCACTACACAGCAGAGAGAGTGACCTTTTTAATGGCTAAGTCAGATTGTTAATACACTCATTATAAATCAGGATAGGAAGCGATGGAAGGGTTCTGACCAGGGTAGAGACATGATCATATGGCTGTTTAAGATGGTTCCAGGGGCTGCTGGATGGAGAAGGCACTGTGGATGAAGGGGGCAAGAGAGAAGACAGGGAGATCAGCAAGGACCTGGTGGCAGTGGTCCAGGGGCAAGAGATAGCATGGTGCCTGGACCAGGACTGAGGCCATGGCAGTGGTTAGATGGCTGGTAAGTACATCAGCCCTGAGGCCAACATGGTCAGCTCCACTGTTGATTTGATTCCCCCCCAGCCGCCATCCACTGTCCTGGCCAGTGCTCTCAATCTTCTCAAAATAATGTATTCACATATTCATGGCAGACATTGACATCAAAAGGAGGTGTGGCCAGGGCTAAAGAGGAAGAGGGTTCACTGGACCGTAACTGTTAGCATTATTGTCTTCCGGTTCTCATTATGATGGTTACTCTGAGATGCTGGGCAAGGCACTTAACTGTCTGGTGCCCTGGAAAAGGGAATGGTTCTTCTCCTGAAGGGTTGTTGTGGGGATTAAATGAGAGGATTCTTGTGAAATAGGAGCACGAGGCACAGCAGAAAGTAAATACACAATAAATGTCAGCCTTATTATAAACTATCTCTGTGTACAGAGCAAAGTGCATCATTACTAGTAGTAAATAATAGCTAAATATGTGAAAAGAAATCTCCTCGGACATATGGACATAGGAAAACAGATGAAATGAAAATCATATGAAGAAAGTGGGTGAAAACATTTGTATTTGTAGTAATGACGGGCAAGGTTATAACAGTCTCCTACTTTTCTGGAATTATATCTGGCAGCTACTGCCCATTTTCTTTTTCCCCTTTACTTGAACTCACATAGAGAAATTCAGAACAGTTAACACAGACACTACATTCGAAGTTTGTAATTTTTTTAACACTTTTTTTTTTAAATGTTTATTTACTTTTGAGAGAACGAGAGAGCGAGACGGAGTGTGAGCAGGGGAGGGGCAGAGAGGGAGACACAGAATCCGAAGCAGGCTCCCGGCTCCGAGCTGTCAGCACAGAGCCCGATGCGGGGCTTAAACCCATGAACCATGAGATCATGACCTGAGCCGAAGTCGGACGCTCAACCTACTGAGCCACCCAGGTGCCGTTGAAACTTATCATTTTAGGTGATGGAAATGAAAGCAGGAAAAGGAATTCACTAAAAGCCACAGAATATAACTCACACTGAAGCATAATAAAATACTAGCTACTGCTTGATGAAGTTTTACTAGTATGCTGTGCTGTCTCAGGCACTTTACTCAAATTTACTGTACCTACCCGGAGGGGGTAAGGCCTGGAGTCTGGAGCCGTGTCGCCTTGGTGCATGGACCCGACACAAAGTACATGCTTATGGTTAGCTACTTCATTACATTATTATTCCTATTTTACAGGTGAGGGATCTGCACTCCAAGTAACCAGCTCAGGATTCCACAGCTGGTGAACGGAACAGCCAGAACTGAAACCCGGAATAGTCTGGTTCTAGAGTACCCTTTTCACTGCACTATTCTTTGCTCCATTTTAGACGAAGGACTTAGGTTTCTTTTTTTTTTTTTATTTTTTTTATTTTTTTAAGTTTCTTTATTTATTTTGAGACAGAGAGAGAGAGAGAGACAGAGAAATACAGAGAATTTATTTCTGTGTAAATAAATAGGGGGGAGAGGCAGAGGAGATGAGAGAGAGAGAATTCCAAGCAGGGTCCGCACTGTCAGCGCAGAGCCTGGCATGGGGCTCGAACTCACAAATCTTGAGATCATGACCTGAGCCGAAATCAAGAATCAGCTGCTTATCGGACTGAGCCACCCAGGCGCCCCCATGAACTTTTGTTTCTTTCCTGAAATGAGAACACGAATTGCTATTCCAATCGGACTTTTCCGGTGAAAGCCTTCTGAATGGGAAAGCTGAGTGGCATCGGAGAAAAAATCAACAATCCTCCTTTGCAAAGTATCAGTTGGTTTGCGTGAAGGAGGGGCTTTCCCTCGGAGGTTTTCCTCAGAATTTATTGCTAATTTGGCACATACCAGAAGGTGTCAAAACCGAGAAAAACTGAGGGCTGCACTGTATCATTTCTGTCTAGTCAGCTCCGGCTCTGTATTCTCTTAGGCTGAAACGCGCTCAGGAGACAGGACGCAAAGTACCTGCAGCAGATGGGAGTTCTGTCATTGCAGATGCACTGGTGGCCTTCCCCTCAAGCTCCTCACACTACAGACAGATCTATCTGCATGGGCATTAGTGGCCCTCGACTCTCTCTTTGGGCCATCGGGATGGTGGCAATCTGGATTTACAAATAAATCAGCGTTCCAGAGTCGGGAGCCAAAGTTTAGCCTGGTGGTTGTATCTCAGACTCGGGGTGGAGACACCTGTGTGGGAGTTTGAACCCTGCCACCAAGTGCCCTTTGGCTTAGCTGCCTGTGCCTCCGTTTCCTCAGCTGTAACATGGGGACAGTGTGCCAAGTTGTTGTGGGGGCTGATGGGGACCATGCACGGTGAGTGCTTAGCACAGACTGGCGCATAGTAAGTGCTCGGTGACGTTAGGTAATATTGTGGCTTGTCATTATCCTTAGCAGTAGCAGTGGCCGTAGTAGAAATCGTAGTCTTAGTAGAAAGACATCCCTTT